TCTCCCCCGGTCGCGGCGCTCCCCTGCTGCGCCCGCCCCAGCCACAACCGCAGCTACAGATCCTCACTGACCCAGTGCTCCTGGTTGCGGAGCTGCTGCCCCAGTAGCCACAGGTGCCACCGCTGGTACTCCTCCAGGTTCCAGGTGCGCTTGCTGGCCCGGGTGCAGGTGGCTGTTCCAGGCGGGATGGTGCGCCCTGCACTCGCAGGTGCAGCGGCTGTGGTGAAACAAGAGCAGTGGTCAGTTCTCTCTGGGGACATAGTGGGTGAAACCCAGCCCCCTCTGCAAGGCAAGGTCGGCGCTTGGGGAACGGGCCAGGGCCCTTGCATGACACCCAGCTGCTGCTCCACGGTGGGGCTGGGCCAGGTGCATGGTACCTGGGCTCCTTCCCCCCTGCCACATAAGGGGAGCATGATGGCACTGAAATGTGGAGTCCTCCCCAGTCTGAGACGACACAGTTGATGGGCTCTGTGGGATGACTCGGGGGTTCTGGATCCTGGGCAGGCTCCCTGCAGGCTCCTGACTATCGTCCTCCTCCTCTTCTGTTTCAGGGGTGGGGCCCTCTGCCTCAGGGTCGATCACCACCTGGGGGGGCACGGCCTGTGTGAGTCCCCAGGATGCGGTGCAGGGCCTTGTAATGAGGGCAGGTGTCTGGGTCGGCCCCTGGTTTGGGGGCCCTGGAGTAGGCCTGCTGCAGGTCTTTGATTTTGTAGTGGACCTGCTCCTGGGTCTGCAGGTGGCCTCTGGTGGCCAGGCTCGGCTGTAGATGGCCACATTCCTGTACCTCGTGTGGAGATTATGGACATTGGAGGCCTCCCCCCAAACCTCAATAAGGTTCATGATCTCCGCACTAGACCAGGCGGGCGCCCGTCTTTTTCGGCCCCAGGCAGGCTCCCTGGTGGGAAGAAGTGGAGGGCTGGGTGGCAACGGGTGGCTGGCTCATGCTGTGCCTGGTGCAGAGTCTGCTGGCCGGGTGCTGGCAGGCTGGCAAGTGGCACAGGCACTGTGGCCAGAATGTGCCCCTTTAAGGGCAGGAAGAGGAGCAGGAAGCAGGAGCAGAAGAATTTTCCTGGTTTGGCCCAGAGTGGTCACCAGGGGAACCTGGGAAGGGCTAGCCTCCAGCTAGTTTGAATTAAGTGGCTACATAGCACTTAATTCGAACTACTTAATTTGAATTTGGCATTACTCATTGTAGAATGTGGTTTATCAAGTTCGAATTAAGCGTTCTGCTAATTAAATTCGAAATAGAGGTTTGTATGTATAGTTAATTCGAACTAACGGCTGTTAGTTAGAATTAACTTTGTAGTGTAGACATACCCATACCGACCTAGGTTCAGGACCAGATCGGAATTGACAGGATAGTAAGTAAGCCCCCCTTCCATAAGGTGAGGGGTGGTAGCTAGGCAACAGAGGGCATGTAAAGAAATGATGTAAGTTGTTTGTACATGTCTATAAAAAGACACCGCAAAGGGTGCTCTCCAGCTGACCTTGGGGGGGGCAGCACTAGGTGCCTGAATGGCAGGTGTCATTGCTTAAACTTAGAGAATGCACAGTAGCTTAACTTTGACTAACTGCTGTTAATATCTGATATACGGCAATAGGCCTGCCCGGTGTTTGTACCTTGTCAACGCGGGCCATAGTGCCCAGTGGTGTAACATTGTACTGATCTGTGTTACCAACTGGTAGAGTTTCACATTTGACAATAAACCTGCTCGATTGATTTCAAACCTTGCCTGCATCTGTCGTTTCTGGGGCCTCTCCGAGTTCTCTTCTGTTGACCCAAGTGCACGGGGTCTAACACTCCAGATAAAGGGAGTACCGATTGTTACGCACGCAGCTGAAAGTTTAGCATCACCGATGGAGTAGAGGTCCTGTCAGGAGCACGCCAGGATGACTGTGACCAGACAACACTGACACTGACAGTTCAGACCACCTAAGGTACAGAACACCGAGATACGACAGCCGTGTGTTGCATGCTACACAACTTGGTGGAAAGGAAAGGGGAGACGAGGGCTGATGGTGAGGGGAAGCAATTCAAGCACGCCCAGACAGCTGCCATCTACCAGGCCTATGAGTCTGGAATGCGCATCCGGGAAGCGCTGAGGGAGAGAGTCTCAGAAGGAGCCCAGAGTATGTGTACACTACAACGTTAATTCGAACTAACTTAGTTAGAATTAGTTAATTCGAACTAAGCTAATTTGAACTAACGGATCCAGACTAAAAAACTAGTTCGAATTAGCGTTTTGCTAATTCGAACTAGCTTTTCCACATTAAGTGGACCCTGAACCGGGCTTAAGGATGGCCGGAAGCAGTGCCAGCAGGGCATCAGAGGAGGACTTAGAGCGTGGAGATGTTGTCTCAGGCTAGCCAAGGGCTGTGCTGGTCCCGACCCCCACCCCGGACAGACAGTTCTCAGGGGTGCCCCGCTTGCAAAGCAGTCCTGGCTTAGAGTGCCCGGACTACCCACACTGGGCACATCACAGCACTCGGCCATCAGACCGGCTGCACTTCCCGCAGGCTGCCCTCCGG